TCTCTCTCTCTCTCTCTCACTCGCTTTCTCCCTCCATGACTCTCTCTCTCTCTCTCTCACGCACACACACACACACACATTCTCTCTCCCTCTCTCCCTCTCGCTCTCTCGCTCCATGACTCCTCTCTCTCTCTCCATGACTCTCTCTCTCTCACTCACTCACTCACTCACTCACTCACTCACTCACTCACTCACTCACTCACTCACTCTCTCTCTCACTCACTCACTCACTCACTCACTCTCTCTCATCTTGAGCATTTGAATTCCTCTATCTGTCCATGTCATCTTTTTGCAGGGACCCTGCTAATGTTCTCTGTATTGTTCCAATGTTAACAGAGGTTGGGAAGGACATGAAGCATGACTGTTTTGTAATCAAACTTATCACAGAAAGAAAGTGCACAAAAGAACAATATAGTGACAAACATCAGAAGGGGTGATGAAGAAAGATATAAGTTATAACTAGATGGTGTGATTGCTATTTGGGGATCCTTTGCAGATCAGCTCGTGTGGCACCCATGATCAAGGAGGTTGCAAGCATTGTGGCTGGATCAGATAATCTGCCTGACTTTCTCCGAACGTATTTCGTTGGCCTTCTGAACACGATTGATCGGAAGCTTCTCCGGTTAGGCGACTCCTCAGCTCAGCGTCAGGCCCTGCGTTGCATCGAACGGCTGATTGAACTCATTGGTCCCCACCTGAGCTCGTTCGTTCCAAAGATCATGGCGCTTCTGACGTGGGCTTTGCAGGAATCAGCACTCCGGCCGCAGGGGCTTGCCGTGTGGCTCTCCTTTGTGCGCACGTTGGGAAGAGTTGCACCAGCAAACCTGAAGTCGGTCGCTTGTCAGATCGTTGTGGCTGTTCTTCCTTGTCTGGAAGGAGAAGAGGACGAAGATGGTGGCGATTGCCCTCGCCGCTCGGGGATTGTTTTGTTACGCCGCAAGCGGAAGCTCGGCGATGAGGAGGGCAACGCTTCAGAGTACCCAGGCTGTCCAAAGACTCCAAACGGGCATCAAGGTAATGAAAAGAATCCATATCTGGACGCCACTGTCAATATCCTCAAGGAGTTGGTTGTCACACACAAAGACGCATTAGAAGAACAGCTTCAGGAGCTCCCAATGCTGCCAACAATTCCTGCTCTGAAGGGGGTGAACGCAGTCTTGGAGGAGGCTCGCGGGGAAATGACCCTGAGAGAGCAACTGAAGCGTGCTACCGAGGGGCTGAAGCACGAAAGCTTGAGCGTCAGATACATGGCAGCTGGAGAGCTGAAAAAGCTTATGAGTAAGAAACGGGAGGAGATCAACACGATGGTGATGGGCGAGGACAGCGGTGCGGAAGCGAAAGTGGTAAGCGAACTGGTTGCGGCTCTGCTGCGGGGATGTGGTGCGGAAGCGCGCACTGCCATTAGCCAACAAGTGAAGATGCTGTGCACAGAATGCTTAGGGGAGATGGGAGCCATCGATCCATCAAGGTTGTCCGTGGAGCTACGCCGCGTGTGCAGGATTGATCGGACAAACGAGGACTTCATGTTTGAGTTGATCAACGAGCATCTGGCGAAAGTGCTGCGAGCGGCACAGGACACAGACGTTCAGGATGCTGCAGCTTTGGCTATCCAAGAGTTGCTGAAGATAGGTGGTTGCAGATCTGCGGCAGTAATTGCGGGAAGTGCCACTCGAGGAGCGCCTGGGGTTGCCGATGCAGGTGGGGCCGGCGGACAGCTGGGGTGGAGGCTGTGGAGTCGGTTTCCTGAGGACGTGAAGGAGATCATTGCGCCCTGCTTGACCTCCAAGTATGTCTTGGTAAAGAATCCAGGCCCTCCAATGGCGACAGGACCAATTTACCGCCCTGGGATGTCCTTTCGACGATGGATATATCTCTGGATCCAACGGCTCATAGCACAGTCTGTTGGTGCAAGGTCAGCAATCTTCAACGCATGTCGTGGTGTGGTACGTCACGATGTCGGCACTGGTTTGTATCTTTTGCCTTATCTTGTCCTGAATGTGACCTGCAAAGGGGAGGAAGAGTCCCGCACGGCTGTGAGAGAAGAAATTCTTGCTGTTTTGGCAGAACGCTCTGGCGAGAAACAAGGTGGCAGCGAGGACGCACAAGCTGTGGATGCAAAAGGGGGACATGGTACATTGGGACTTGCTCCTGGCAACAATCATGGCTATGGGGGGGTCAACATTGGTGCTAACATGGGCCCAAGTGAAGTAAGCACTCAGGCAGTTTTTGCCCTCCTTGATTTGCTGGGGCAATGGCTGGACGAATGCAAGCAACCGGCGGCCACAGCAAAGAAGCAAGGTCCCGATGGCGACGAAGATGCTGCGGCGATTGTGGTCCAGTCCACTCATGTGACCCAGCTTTTGGATGCAATCCCCAAGGAAGCACTAGCAAGAGCGTCCTTCCGCTGCCAGGCGTATGCAAGGGCTCTCTTGTACTTTGAATCACATGTAATGGACAAGTCGGGCGCATTGAATCCCTCTTCTGCACAGGGGACGACAGGTCATCATGGTGTGTTTGCCGACGAGGACGTCTCCCTGTTGTTAGAAATCTACAGTGGGTTGGATGAGCATGATGGACTCTCGGGCGTGGCAAAGCTTCGCCGATCGTCAAGCCTGCAGGATCAGATGCTGATAAATGAGAAGTCCGGTAACTGGGTGGAAGCCCTGACCTGCTACGAGCAGGCACTGCAGGCGGACCCCGGGAACATAATGCAGTGTATGGGAATGCTGAACTGTCTGCTCAACATGGGGCACCTGCAGGCGATGGTGACGCTCGTTGACGGCTTGATAGCGCGCGTTCGACAGGTGCGCAAGGAATGGTGTACGAGGGGAGTTCAGGCAGCGTGGAGGCTAGGAAATTGGGATCTCCTGTCAGAGTATCTGGACGGTGCGTCAGGGGAGCATCAGAGGGAGGGAAGTGGGAGTGGGGGAAGCAGCGGTAGCAGTGGGGATTGCCATTACTTGGGCGGCGATGCAGCGTTCGATATGGACCTGGCGAAGACCTTGCAGGCATTGCAGAGACGAGACCGCGGTGCATTCACTTCACACCTTACCCATGCCCGACAGGGATTGTTGCCCCCTCTGGCAGCTGCTAGCATGGAATCGTATGTGCGGGCATATCCGTTGATCGTCAAACTCCACATGCTCCGTGAAGTCGAAGACGGCTTCATGTCCTTGACTGCTGAGGAAGGCCATGAGAGCTCTGCCAAGGAGGGTGGCAAGGAGGTTGAGGCGGTTGTAGATGTCGAGCGCTGGTTGCAAGACTGGGAGAATCGGTTGAAGATAACGCAACCCTCGCTGTGGACCCGTGAGCCGATACTGGCCCTCCGAAGGCTGATATACAGGATGAACGGGATGCGTGCAGAAGAGGGTACATGCTGGCTGCAGTACGCGAAAATGTGTAGGAAGGTGGGCCACTATGAGACGGCGACACGGGCGATTCTTGAAGCGAGATCTTACGGAGCACCGAATGCACACCTGGAAATGGCGAAGCTGTACTGGGACACCAAGCAATGTCATCGCGCCATCGCGGAGCTCCAGGAGGCGCTCCTGAAAGCACCCCCTGGAATGTTAGGTGCGGCAGCAGGTGCCGCGCTGGGTGGTCTGGTCCATCAGGGTGGGACTCCTGGGACAGCAGCAGAACCGGGCGCGGTTCCGAAGGCGGGGGCGGGGGAAGGAGCAGCGGCACTTGCGACGCCAACACAAGTGCGGAGGGATCAGGCGGTGGATGTGGCACGGACAGTTTTATTGCTTTCGAGGTGGTTTCATCAGACGGGTCAGAAGCAGAAACAAGATGTGATTCCACTTTATAACCTTCTCAGAGAGATGCGACCTCAGTGGGAGAAGTTGTATTTCTTTCTTGCAAAGTATTACGACGATTTGTTCGTTGATGCTCGGCGGCGACAAGCAGGGAAGGAAGGGGGTGGTTGTGGCAGTGGCGTGGCGATTCTGCGAGCCATGCAGGACCGGGAAACGAATGCCCATGCTCATGTCATTGCCGATGACCGACCGTACGTTGTGTATATTCCAGAAGCCATGCTCCACTACGCCAAGTCGCTGCACCGCGGGCACAAGTACTTGCATCAGTCCATGCCACGTCTTCTGACACTCTGGTTCGACTTCGGGAGTTCGTTTCCCGTGAAGTCGGTTTCCGTGACAAAGGTTCTTCACAGCGCTCATAACAAGGTTCGTTGCCAGAAATAGCATGCATGCATGTGACGCACCGGCTACCCTAGTGCATTCACACTCTGATTATTCACACTTGTCTTGCATGCAAACAGCGATACAGCAACTGGCGACATGCGCCCTGACAGTACTTAAGATATCGTAACCAGATATGAGTTCTCTTCAACTGGCTATGGCGACTGGG